CACGCCAAGTTCAAGTTGCTAATGCGCTAATGTCAAACCGCACCGCAACAATGTTGTGCGTATTTGGCAAGTCATCGACTACGGGGTCAAATGTTACTGTATGATCAAATGAACCGCAAATTCCGTGCATGCTAGTTGAATACACTCCGCGTACTTGGAACTTAGATCGACCCATATGAGAAAAGTACCCATTGATCAATTATTTTCCAACCTAGCATACATTAGTGTGTTTTCACATGTCTTCTTATTTTTATACACATATTAGAAAAATGTACAAGTCACATGGTTTGGTTTATTACGCCGAAGTCAGGCAAGGCATGTTTAGACTGTTATCTGAGTTTAGAAATAGTTTATGACGTCACGCCCACGTCACCTGACGTCGATGAATATATCACTCAAAAGATTTGAAGCCGATCTTATGAGTGTTGGTATCACCATGGAGATCACCTCCATGGTAACACCACATATAGAGGGACTGTGATAACACGAACCATGCTGTCATGCGATGTTAATTAATTATGCAAAACATATGCCCACTTTTTCTCAACGAATATCGCAATTGTAATGAAAATGTCTATGTCAAAATGGAGGCGGCGCCTAGAAATTTACGTTGGAGAAACACATCATTGCCAGTGCTTGCTGTATTTATTTGACGATGCGTCGAAGATATCTACTGGTACTCAATAGTGAGTTAGGGTTTTAAACACTGACTTAGGGGGACTGTTTTTAACAACTTTGAGTGACATTGACGGTACGCATGGTTAGTGTTTTGCGTTATTATTAAACCGACCGCCACTACAGTGCACAGGGATTGTAACACATGAGAGCAGAGGGAAGGAAATATACATAACCGGGGTACAAATGGAAGTCATAAAACTAGGCGTGATTGCCGCTGTCATTGGTAAGTCTAATATTACACTGGGGACGAGTTTATTTAGACATGTCGCTGCGACACAGCGCTGGATGTTTAGTTTTACGCACTATGTAGAAACCATGATACATGGTGATGTCGGTTAATAAATCAAGCACGGCCTGCAATATACAGTCAGACCCTCACTACCAGGTGTATTTCCGGTCTATCTGTTTTAAATTGCATGTCAAGGTGAACTACAAGAACCTATTATAATCAACTATATGTATGCTGGTGTGTGTGTATTGGCTGATATCTTGTGTGATTCATAGACAAGGGATGAATGTTTTGGTTCGTAATCAGTCTTGTGGTTGGTGCATAACAGATTCTAAATGAACAACACCCCCATTATGTGGAAAAGCCGCACATATCGTTACGAATCTATAAATGCAATTATTCTGTTTGTTTATTTATGTATGTTTATTATTCTTGCCAATGATATAGGCAAAGTAAAGGTAACGCGTTGGTGAAATTTGAAAGAGCAGCTAATAATCTTGTAAATTTTATAAATTAAATTTTCTTATTCGACTTTGCCTATTTTTTTCTGTACACAAAATACCAGCCGATACCACCCCGCATAAGGCTAGACATACAGTTGATTATAATCTAGGACACATCGTAATCACGTACGCCCCACCGAGTTGAGGCTTTTCAGAAAAAATTGCACAGCGATAATTAGCGCAGCACGACGAAAAATTGAATAAAATATTCTTTTCAGTATAACCATGATAAAGCCTATCGCTTAGTGGAGATCGTTAACAATATTGTAACTAACACAGTGTCAGCATACTGGGTTACGTAAGCTCACAGCATGGGTTGTCGACTATGGCGAACACTGCTGGTATTGAAAATGTTTATTGTTGAAACCAACAACCTACAAAAAATCATCAGGCGAACTTACCGTGACAAGAAAAGGGACGTACACGATCAGTCTGTCTTAAACAGGATTAGCAAATTTATAATTCGTAAAACCCGTAAATACAACTTTAATACGTTTGTTTGAACTGCTTTGAAATACCAGTTAAATTACTGGAATTGTTACCCTAAATAAGAGTATTTGGCATTTCTAGTAATCAAGTTTCAGATAGCAGAGATATTTCATAGTCATAAGTTACCAGTCTAGGCTTGTTTGTTTCTAAGATTTTGCTTCCAATTCAAGTAATATTTAAAATATATTTGTTAAAAATGTAATATGAACGAAAACTTGCTTTTGCAGTACACACATTAGTACTCATGATTCGTAAAAAAAATACAACCACTAATACATATGCGCAAAACAACCGGTACGTATTAGCGAGTTTACATCGAACGAATACTCAGAGGCATGCTACATAAAGGCAATGTTCTTAATACATCACAGTGTAGTGTAGTCGAACAACAGTAGTAACAATTACATGTTTTCGTTGATATTAATTACATCTTTAAAAATATTTTTCTTTCAGAACCACGTGATGCGACTCCACAGTCCTTGAATCCTATTTAGACTTTTGAATAGGTCCGTTAAATCTTGTTCATAAATAAGAAGAAATATATACCTAGTATATGCCTAATTCGCCATCAGGAGACAAGGAAATTATGATGAAATTGAGGTCGTTGTTAAAGGGCGGCAGTCGTCGTGCCGCGTCCTGTTTATTTATTTATTTATTGCTCCCTTTTGTAACAGGGGCTCACTATGTAAATTAGGAGCTGCACCAAATAAAAAAATACATTTCACTCAAAGACTAATGAAAAAGCTTTTGATAGACAAAAAAAAACTAAGTTACATGAACTAAGATAACAAAATATAACAACAACAACAAAAACATCTAAAAATAGCAAAAAATATGAAAACTTAAATATAAGAAGTACACTTTAAAAATATTAAATATTATCTGTATACTTCTTTCTACTCTCCATGGCATCAACTATAATTTTTTTTGTAAAAGTATCAATTTCGTTACACAGGACTGAATTATACTGCCTTGTACTGTCACCCAGGATTAAACATAGCACTTCTTTGTTTGCTATGAAGTCATTATGTAAATTTATTTCATTTTTGTTACATAGGAGCATTTCAATCCCTTCCATTAGGGTTTTTCTCTGTGCTGAGAAACATTCACAATGTAATATGAAATGCTCCAGTGTTTCAGGTTCCTTTTTGCAACATGGACAGA